TATGGCATGGAGCTTGGCAAGTATGAATTCGACAGAATTTCTCTCCTCTCATTTTTCCTCTATTTGCCATGTCAAACACCAACCCTTTCCAACGGCAAAAATATACCAAACTGATTTGGAGCTCGACAATTTCTATCATCACTTCCACCAGCCTTAATCATCCCACTTGTAGTCAAAACAACACCAAATGACCACTTCTACCAGCCTTAACCCACTTGTAGTCAAAGCAACACCAAATGTAATGTATCCTTCTTGGTCCGCCAATGTTGGCAAAAGGAACAAACACTATCATGTACATAAAAAGAATTTTTCAAATTCTTTTTGCATCATCTTTCTTAGTCTATTAAAATGCTTAAAAACTTGATACTTTTTGTATTTTGTCAGAAAAACACTATATAGTTTTATACAAACTTTTTTTGTTTTTGTTTTTGTTTTAATAAGCTAAAGATTCATTTATGTTTTTTCTTTCAAAAGTATAAAAATATTATACTATTTAATTGATTGAAATGAAATCTTGGTAGAACTCGTAGGGCGGACTGATCGGAATGGCTTCTATCCACCTACTTTAAACTTTAAACGAACTTTTATTTGATAATTACACACACGCACACCCTCTTTTCTGGTTGTTCATCTGTATTCAAGGGTGTAAAAGTTGTCTTTTTGGAGGCTTGTTGTAGATCCAAATTTGTTTTCTTTCAGATGTCACCTCACTGTTCCTATTGATTGATGTAATAAGAGAACCCCCATCTAAAAATTACGATTCCAATTTCCAACAAAAAAAGATTTCACCTCTGTAACTTTCCGCAAATGGGTACGTGTTATTCCACCACCGGCAGCGGCCGGAGACATAGAAAAGACGGCGACGGTAACAAAGATGATGAAAATGATAGACGGTGGAAGTCCAAGAGCGGTAGAAAGATCAATCTTAAATCCACTGATTTAAAGTTCAAGTTCGGTGGCGGCGGCGGCAGTAGGAGTGCTGCGGCGGAGGAACGTGCCCTCCACCAGGTTCCCGGTAGGCTATTCGGTAATGGGTCCAGTAGCATCGCCAGTTTATACACGCAACAGGGCAAGAAAGGCACAAATCAAGACGCCATGATCGTTTGGGAGGTTTGCTGTTATCCATTATCACCATCACACACTCCACACACACGATTTTGTATTGAAATCTTTCAAATTGAAACGGATTAGCAGTTTAGGTTAGAAATTACTTGAATCAGGGACAACTTGTGGCAATTAATGCGACTCAAATTCTATCTAAAACAGTAAAAAATCTATTTTTTTGTGAATCAGAACTTCTGTTCGACAAATGAAGCGGTGTTTTGTGGAGTATTTGATGGGCATGGCCCATACGGACATATGGTCGCTAGGAAAGTTAGGGATTCTCTTCCCGTTTTGCTGTCTACTCACTGGACGACTGGTTCTGATAGTGAGAACAGAAAGGGTAATGAGGAAGAAGAAGACGAAGAAGAAGAAGAAGAAGAAGAAAAATGGTGTGAAGAATTGGAGTTTGGTAATGGTGAGAAAGAACGAGTTCCTGAAAAGTATCTTCCACTTAAAAAGTCGATTTTGAAAGCTTTTAGGTTAATGGATATGGAACTCAAGACACATCCATCTATTGATTGTTTCTGTAGTGGAACAACTGCTGTTGCTTTGATCAAACAGGTACTTTTTGTTACATGGGACACTATATGTTTTTTTCGGACATATATATTTTATGGAGGACATTTACGTCTTTTTGCACAGAGATCTAGAAAGAATTCCTATCTAACCCTTTTGGGTGAGACAAAAAAGTACAATTTTTGTCGTATTGACACCGGTCTAGTCCAATGCATGTCAAATACAATGGTTGAAATAGACGATATTTGCAACAAAGGTTTCATTGTTTCAGGCTCAAGATCTTATAATTGGAAATCTTGGTGACTCGAGAGCGGTTTTGGCAACTAACGATGACAACAATGGTTTAGTTGCTGTTCAATTGACCGTTGATTTAAAACCGAATCTCCCAAGTAACTCTCTATTTCTCTCTCATAATTTATAAAAAAAGTTTTATGCTTTCTTGGAAGTCCATGTCTATTCCACAATCATTCATAATTTATAAGTACATTAATGTTCCATGTATTTGATGTACAAAAATAATATAATATATGTAATTTTTACCATTTCAATCGTCTTTAGGAGAAGCAGCTAGGATTCAGCAGTTTAAAGGGCGTGTTTTTGCATTACAAGATGAGCCAGAAGTCGCACGAGTTTGGTTACCCAATAGTGATTCACCCGGTTTAGCAATGGCTAGAGCTTTCGGTGACTTCTGTTTAAAAGACTTCGGTTTAATCTCCACCCCGGATATTTATTACCACCATATCACCGAAAAAGACAAATTTGTCCTTATCGCATCCGACGGGGTATCATTTCTTTTCTTTATCTTTCATTATGTCCTGTATGGGTAAACTGACTGAATGAGTAATGATGTCTGTCTGGATAAAGTGTTGCATAAAACAACAAATTTCACAATATTCATCAACTTTATCTAGACACACATCAATACTCATTTTTTTTTTTTAATTTTGAAACAGGTTTGGGATGTTCTCTCGAATAAAGAAGCTATCGACATTGTGGCTGCTGCCCCAAGTCGGTCAACGGCTGCCCGGGCCCTTGTTGACTGTGCCACAAGGGCTTGGCGGCTCAAATACCCGACATCCAAAAATGACGATTGTGCTGTTGTATGTCTATTTCTTGACCCAAAACCCATGTCAATTGCACCCATAGAAGAACAAAAAGAAGAAAATATTAGTAGTAGTGTTACACAGGATTTGGTGAATGTTAAAGAGTCGAGTGAGATTGAGCCATATGTTGAACCAGAAAACAACAAGCCAATTGAAAATGGTGTTGGGGGATCTAAAAGGAGCTTAGCAGAGTGCATATCGAGTACTGAAGATGAAGAATGGTCGGCACTTGAAGGTGTGACACGTGTCAATAGTTTGGTGAGTATTCCACGGTTCTTGTCTGGTGATAAAAGATCAAGCAATTCGAGAAAGTCTGTTATCAAGATTTGATTTTGAATTGAAACCCGAAACTTTTTTTATGTGATATATTTATTTGGGAAATTGTCAGAAAAGTCTCAATATTTTCAGGAAAGTTACACTTTAGTTCCAAGATTTTTTTTTTGAACATTAAAGTCCCGATTATTTTTAAAAACACGATAATATGTCATTTCCTGTTAAAAGAAAAAAAAAATGACTTTTTTGTAAACTTGAGCCAAAATGAAATCATCGGGACTTTTTTGTTCAAAAAAAAAAATTTGGGACTAAAGTGTAACTTTCCTGAAAATATTAAGACTTTTCTGACAATTTCCCTATTTATTTTGAGGTTTAATTAGAACGGTAGGGACAGGTGTAGATTTTTATGGTGATACGAGCTGTAGGGGTGAGAATTGATCAGAGTAGTGTTGGTTGGTGTAATTCTTTGTTTTGTTTTTGGGTTTGAATTTTTCTGATTCTGTGCGAAGTGGTAACAGATTTGGATCAATCGTTGTATTGTTAAAGATACAGATTTATTCTGTGTACCGAAATATAATGAGTATATGTGGTGAATCGTATTTAATAGGAGGAGATTTTTGTTGTTTATATAAGATTAGATGTTGGTTTAGATTTAAGATCGCTATGTTATTCGATGCGACAATAATGACTCATTTTAGCTAAAGATATTGGACTATTGGTTATATTTTAATGAAAATTAAATAAAAATCAATATAGCTTCTCTATTTGCTTTGGATAAGTGCTTATTGAAAAAGTTTTTCGTTAAAGCCATTAAAGATTTGGAAATTTTCTAAACCATGTGACGTTTCAAAAGATCAAGTCGTTAACTTTTAAAAATGTTTAAATTGTCAAGATATATGATTATGTACCAAAATAATCGAAGACATGAAACATCAAAAGCATAATTTCTTCGTGCTCCCAACCCATCTTTTGATGTTCGAATTTCAAGAAACTAATACACATCAAAACACATATCCGTTATCCGTAAGCAATTATTCAAGAAAGGCAGAATTTCGTATATACCCCTGTTAAACATCTAAATATCGTATTTGCCCGACCCAAACCTTAAATATCATATTTGTCCTTCTTAATGTTTTAAAATATCATATTTACCCAAATCTAATTTTTAAATAGATTTTACTATTTAATAATCATTTTTTACAATTTAAAATCATTAAAAATGAAAAAAATAACTAAATGGACAAGAATACCCTTACTCTCTAAATCGCATAAACCCTTACCTGTTGTTGTTGCTGTGATCGCAGAAGATCCTGTCGATCAAAAAAACACACAACGTCGACTTCTTTTCAGCCTTCTCGCCTCTTCCTTGTTGCAATCAGGATTATCAGGTTAATTTCTGGCTTTATTTGTGAATTGAACATTACATTCATGATTACAACGGATGAATAACTTAAAACCTGAGAATATGTGATCAACACATGTGTAATCGGATACAATCAGTAGGTTATTTGTTAGCTTTGTTTGTCAATTAAACATTGAACGTGATTACAATTGATGATATAATGTCCAATATGAGTGTGATTACAATCAACATGTTATCTCTATGTTTTTTGTTCATGATTAATTAAAACCGTTTTGCATATTATTTGTTGGCTAATCGGGTACAATCACTAGGTTGTTTGTTGGCTTTCTTTGTCAATTAATCATTGAATGTTATTACAACTGATGATATAATGTGAAAAATGAATGTGATTACAATCAACAGGTTATCTCTATATGTTTTTTGTTATTGTTGAATTAAAACCGTTTTGCATATTATTTCTTGGCTTTCTTTGTCATTGAATGTTTGATTACAAGTAATGAACTAATGTGAAATATGAATTCTTTTTGAATTGAACATTCTTTGTGAATTATAAAGCATACATTTGGTATTTGTTATACCATTATATCTGTTTTTCTTATCGCCGATTTAAAATTAGGCCGTTATAGACGCGATACAAACCAATGTCAGAAGATCATTCTCAAACAGAAGATATTACCCTTCATGACACATCAAAACCAATATGGGAAAGCAGGACTACATCTCCAATGATCGAGTATGTTTATGTGAATATCTTAATTTCAATTTATTAAACCTTTACAAAATTGTATGATTGTTTCTCTAATTAGTTTCAATTTCAGGCGTATACCAACATCCAAGTTCAAGTTAAAATTAAAATATGGGGGTTACTTTCGGCTAATGAAGAACAGTTGTAGGCAAATATATTGTTTTGGCTCTCAAAAATGTATCCACATAGACACAACTTTATACAAGTTAAGTCAACTACACGAAGAAGTGATAAAGCGTTATTCATCAAAGAACAACCCAAAATTTTCTATTCTTTATGTTGACAAGTATGCACCAGACAAATCGTTTATTGAGCTTGATTCTGATGAAAAGTTCATGGCTATGCTTAGCATGTATGGAAGCGAGAAACAAGTAACCATTTATGTGACAACAGAGAATAACCTCGGCTCCGATATTCATGCTAACCATTCGTGTGCCAAAAAAGATGAACCACATGATGAGTATGATGCAAACCTTTGTCCTAGTGAAGAAAGCTATCATAGTCATCTCAGTTCTGATAATGAAGACGGTATAGTGAATGATGATGATGAAGTTAACTCATTTAGTAAGAATAGTATAAGAATGGAAGTCGGCTCAAAATTTGAAAATGTGGTTGATTTTAGGAGAGCTTTGAACCACTTTGCAGTCATAAATGAGTTTAACTACTACATTCAGAAAAGTGACCCGACACGATTCACAGCAAGATGTGAAAACCTAGAGTGTGAGTGGAGAATTCATGCTTCTATTACACAAGATGAAGTTACCTTTCAAGTAAGTGTATATGTTAAGTTATATTTAACATGCTTTATATTAAAAATATGTTTACGTTTATTTAATTCTTTTTTTTAGGTTAAGAAAATGGTAGAAGTACATACTTGCACTCGAAGCAACAAAGGTGGCAATAAGCGTGCCACTCAAGGTTGGATTGCTAATGTAGTAAATGACAAGTTGAAATCTGATGGGGATGTCTCTCCATATGAGCTTAGAAATTGGATTATGAAAACTTACAATGTTGACGTGCCGTACCTAAAAGTTTTTAGAGGGAAAGAGCAAGCTTATACCGACATGTATGGTAAGTGGGAAGACTCTTTCATGAAGATGGACGAATTTAGAGAAGAACTATTACAAAGGAACGAAGGAAGCGTTGTTGAAATTGACTTTGACAAAGTTGGTGGAAAGAAACTTTTCAAAAGGTTTTTTATTTGTTTAGCAGCTTGTTCTAGAGGGTTTGTTGCTGGTTGTCATCCGTATATTGGTCTTGATGCTTGTCATTTAAAAGGAAAGTTTAATGGTGTACTAGCCGCTGCAACTGGTATTGACGGTAACAATTCTATCTTTCCAATAGCATATTGTGTGCTTGAATCAGAAAACACACAATCATGGACATGGTTTCTTGACTCACTCAAAAAATCAATTGGAACCCCAAATGGTCTTGTTATCTCATCGGACATGCAGAAAGGGTTAGAAGTAGCCATCATGAATGTGTATCCTAATGTTGAGCATAGAGAATGTATAAGGCACTTATATAGCAACTTCAAGAAACACTTTCGTGGTGACTTCTTTAACACCAAAATATGGGCTGCTGCGAAAACCTATCGTCCTACCAAGCATGATAGGTTATTAAAGGAAATTAGTGATAAAAATGAAGATGCCATTACATATCTAAATACCAATCACAAAAAAATCTGGAGTAGAAGCAAGTTTGGAACTACTTCCAAGTGTGATTACATCACTAATAATGTTTCAGAAACATTTAATTCTTGGATTGGTAAATTGCGCTATAAACCCGTGCTTGATCTCCTTGACGCAATTAGGGAAAAGATTATGAAACGGTTTGATAAGAAAAGGAATTTGGTGAGTACATGGAATGGCGTATTGGTTCCTATTGCTAAAAATCATCTCAACGACATCGCTAAGGTAAACATGTTAAATAATTAAGTTGAATGACTATATTTGTTTTAGTTTTTACTTCAATAATACATATATCTAAAATATATATGTTTTTAATTTTCATATAGAACTTGGGTGAATATGAAGTTACTAGAAGTTGTGAGAATCAAGCTGAAGTGAAGTACAAGGGAACACGTTGGGAGGTCAGTCTAGATGAAAGAAAATGTAGTTGTCGCGTGTGGCAAGTTCAGGGTCGACCATGTGTACATGCAGCGGCTTTTATTGCTTTTATAAGGGATGCTAACAGGGACAAATATGTTGATCCCTATTTCACTATAGAGAAATTTAAATCTGCATATGCTTTTCAAATTGCTTCGATGCCCGGACAGGATCAATGGGCGCAAAAAAATAGGGAGAAAATATATCCACCTATTATCAAACGCCCACCTGGACGACCAAGAAAAAATAGAATTAAATCATCGGATGAGCCTAAAAGAAGACACAAGTGTCCGCGATGTGGTGAGTATGGACACCGTCAAAAAACATGTAAAAATCCAGCATCTCAAAGTTTCGATCAAAGTGAAACAGCCACCTCTAAAAGGTTACTTAAATTTCCATTTTTTTTTGAGTAAATGACAATACTAACAATGAAAATAATTTTTTTATTCATTTTAGGAAACGTGGAAACAATACAAAATCGCATGGTGATGTGGGAGTTTCGGGGTCTACATAAAAAAAGCTCGTGCAATTAGTTGGTCCTTTTGATAATTTTGTTAGCTTAAGTTGCAAATGTTCTTAATTAAGGTTCAATTGATGGATTTTTTTTTGTTATTATGTGACATAAATAAATATTTTGATATTTTTTTTCTTTCATGGATTTGCATTTGTTGTCAAATTTGTATATATGGTGCAAATTTAAAGACTAGGGACCAAATTGTAATAAGTGCAGATTTAAAGTCCAGGGACGAAACTGTCATAAGTGCAAATTTAAAAACCAGGGACCAAGCTGTAATAAGTGCAAATTTAAAGTCTAGGGACCAAACTGTCATAAGTGCAAATTTAAAGACCAGGGACCAAACTGTCATAAGTGCAAATTTAAAGACCAAGGACCAAACTGTAATAAGTGCAAATTTAAAGTCCAGAGACCAACCTGTAATAATTGCAAAATTAAAAAGTATAAGGACCAAATAGTAATTAGTGTAAATTTAAAAAATATAAGCACCAAAATGTAATAAGTGCCAAATTTAAAAAACAGGAATCAAACTATAATTAATTCCAAATATATTCTTTATGGACAAAAATTGTATATATTACAATTAAAAATATAATTAATTCCAAATATATTCTTTATGGACAAAAATTATATATATTACAATTAAAAAGTACTGAGATAAAAAAATATAGCTAGTGTAATTAACTATTACAAAACTATCAAAGTTCAATGCTATATCTTATTAATTTCTCAAAGTACAATGCTATTTCTTGAATTTAGCGCTGCTTTTATATCTCTTCATTTGATGTAGTGAATTTGAAGGTATTAGGTATGTTTTCTTTTGTGGCTTGTAACCCACCTTCAGCTTTAGTAACCGGCCAAATAGTTTATGCTTTGGATGTCAAACCTACAACAACAGCAACACAGAAACATGTCAAACTTTATAATTAAGGATGGCAAACTTACTAATTAAAACAAAATACATATGATGTCATTTTCTTTGATGAGATTGTTAACTAGTTAACTGGCTGCTAACAAGGCATTACTAGTTTTCAACAGGTATTCTATGTTTCTAGTTTTAGTTATCGTGACCATGTTTAACATAATACATATGATGAGATCATTAGCATCTCTCTATCTCTCTCAAAACATATCACAACAGGTATTCTCTCTGAAAACATATCACAACAGGTACTAAAAACATATCACAACAGGTACTAGTTTTCTCGGTTCAAAAAGTTGTGGGGAAACCTTAATTTAAAAAAAAAGGTTAATAATAATTAATATAAGTCTACCCAAAAAAACCCTTAATATGGACATCACTTGGAAAATAGAAATAGTATGATACAACATTTGCCAACATGGACCCACAGACAAAAAAACCTTCCATGTGCATGCCCACAAAGGCCAAATAAAACCAGAAATCATTGTTTGGTGACAACCAATAACTTAAAACTATGATTACATCAAGGGTAAATTGGGAATAGGTAACATTATTGCTATTTGGTGCTATTTGCTCAAAAGATTTAAGGAGAAAAATGGATAAACAACATACTAGATAACAAGGAACAGGAAGCAGAACCATTGATTTCCACTAAAATATATAAAACCAACAGTCATTCTCTTCTCTTTCTTTGTTCCTCAACCTAATCTAATCATCAACCACAAGTCACATTATTTATAAAAGACACCTATAAGATGATCAAAAAGAGCTTCTGACTTTGTTATCGGTTATTGTAACAAGTTGTAATTACTAACTCACTGCCACTTGAAGGGTTTAGACCATTGATTTTCATGAATTGGGATCTTCTCAGGTTCATAAACAGGAGGGGTTGTGGTTTGTTCATGTTCTTCAGAATCAGGAATGGTTTTTATCTCATCAGCTACAGTAACTTTCTTATGTTTTTTCATTGCCTCTTTCTTTCTTGGCCTCGTAGACATGTGAGGCTTATTTGTAAGCTGATCTAATACCAAAATCGAATTAACAAAACATACTTTTAAAGATTTAACAATCAGCAAAATACATGGTAGGCTTATGTAATACCAAAATCGAATTAACAAAGAAGTTCACTGGAAACCTGATTGTAGCTCAAATCAAAACAACTAAGCTATGAAATACAACATAACTAAGCTGATTGTTAAAAGAATTTGAACAATTGAAACTAGGAACCCTAAAAACGAACTTGAAGAGATGGAAAATAGGAATAGCTTGAAGTCGACATTACCTGATGCGATGATATGATTGCGCGACAACAGGGGGAAGACGGATGTTGTGTGCTACGATCGGAAGGAAGCTGCGATCGGAAGGAAGCTGCAAGACGGAAGGAGGCTGCGATCGGAAGGAAGCTGCAAGACGGGAGGAGGCTGCGATCCGAAGGAAGACAGAAGGATGAATCTGCGATCGATAATCCCCGTTAACGTGTGTATGATTTTGGAATTTAGAAGCAAGGGCAAAATTGTCTATTTCAAATGTTTTTTTAGCTTTAATGATTTTAAAATGGCAAAAAAATTAAAAATCAATAAAAAAAAAATAGATTTGGGTATATATGATATCAAAAAACATTAAGAAGGGCAAACACGATATTTGGAATTTAGGGCGGGCAAATACGATATTTAGCTGTTTAACGAGGGCGTATACGAAATTCTGCCTTCAAGAAAAGATATGAATCTATGAACTCTTTGAGACCCATGGTATTGAAATATGCATCCTTAAAAGAAGCTTTAAGAGGGTTGAAGTAGACTACATGATTTGGGACAAATGATCCTTTTGTACAATTTATAAAGATTATTGCTAATAAGTGTACAGTCTAGAAAGATTATTGGTAATACATGTAAAAAAAGTGATATTTTTTATACAAAAACCAGATATTGTTAAACTCTTAAGTCCATTATCACTAATAATAATAATAATAATAATAATAATAATAATAATAATAATGATGATGATGATGATGATGCATGGAAAACCGCAATAGAATCGGTGAAAATGACAACAAATTAAGTCAAATTGAGCCCAAAAATTGATCTTTGAGTTTTGAGTTTGACGGACTATGCACGTAAGCACACACCAGGCCATGGCATATTGGCATATGAACCCAATTTAAAAATTTTAAGTTTTAAGTTTTTAACATTTCCCATATATTTATATTGATGGATTTTTGTCTATATTTTTTTAAACCGTAAACTCCTAACTATTATCATTTATGTTTCAAATGTTTCAAATGAGACTTGAACCTATGACTTTCAAATGAAAGAGTCATTCCTTACCGTTAGGCCAAAAACATTATAAAAATTACAAAAAAAACCCTTATATCGTATAAAATGACAATTTTGCTGTTATTTTCACATGTTAGCATATTTTGGGCGTATGCATTTAAGTTTCGAAATGTTTAATGACATTTTGGTGCAAAATCAAAAAGTAGTAGGAGTTAGCAAAATAACCGAAATAACCGAATCATTATAACCTATTATATATGGTTCGGTTTTGGTTATCATGGAAAACCGAACCGAACCATTAGTTTAAGTTGAAATATAAAAATTAGAATTATATACCTGATTTGAATTTTGAAAAAGATATGTTAAAATGAAACCTAGTTGTAAATGAGTGAGAGAACATTAAATTTCTACATAACACATAGTATATGAAACCAGTTTATGGAAGCTATCTAAATACTCTCTCCGTCCCAAAATTATTGTCCACAGACAAAAAACACACAGATTAAGGAAGCATTAATTACCACTAACTTTATACAATAAACTGACAGTTTTGTCATTACTTTTCATTTAATGTTCCATTAAATACTTAACTGGTTAAGTAATAATAGGAGGGTATTTTGGTAAAAATATTATTTATTTTAAGAAGTGGACAATTATTTTAGGACAAATCAAAAAGGAAAGATGGACTATAATTTTGAGACGGAGGGAGTAGTAAATAGTTAGTAGTTACTATAAGGAATAGCTGTTGAGTTTAGTGTAAGAAGCGTTACTTTTCTAGGCACCCCTAATTTTTATGAAATAAAATGCATATTCTCACTAAGCCACGTAAACTACAATATTTTAACTAACCTATTAGAAATAATTTGTTTTTTCAAACCATATTGATTTGAAACATAAATGACCTATTATATACTTTAATTAATAGCATGTACAATATTTATAAATTCTCAATAACTTTTTACATTCTTTTATTATATATGTATTTATATTAGTACTATTTTCTCATAAAATCTTCCATGTACTTGAAGGTATTGTGATTCAAAAAGCTTTCATGTAGTTCATGCATTTACGATTCAAATATGAAGAGTTGAAGAAATGTGTTATGTCGTATCAATGGTAATTATAATATAACTTTTTAATTGTGATTCAAAAAGCTTCATGTAGTTCTAGCGTTTACGTTTCAAATATTAGTAGTATTTTCATACAAAAAAGTTTCATGTAGTTGAAGCGTTTACAATTCATACATGAAGAGTTGAAGAAATGAGTTATACCGTATCCATGGTAATTGCAATATGATTTTTCTTATTTGATAATAATGCTTGAAATTTGATAAAAGCCTGAACAAATCTTTTGCAATTTTAAGTCACTCTTTTTATGACTTAATGGAGGTATTTGAGACTTAATAGAAGCAAGAACACTAGCGCAAACCTATAAACTCCTTCCTTTTTCTCTTTTTTTTCTACCAACATCCTTCTCCCTCTAGGTGTCTCTTTGGAGTTTTTCTTCACCAAAATAAGACACAAAGCTCCAGAATTGGAGGTATACTCATGAATAATGAAATAGGTTATGTCCCTCCCGACTATATTAGTTTGACATGTAGATTTTCCTCTCGGGTTTGAAGGTTTGTGTAGTGTTTTCTCTTATGATTTTTATCTAACACTTGATACTAATGTTTAGGAATGATAATCTATTGTCTATTTCTATCTGTCTATTATAAATGAGGTCATTCAAATGAATATGATTCAAGATAGACCATCTATCTTAAACTATATTCATTTGAAACTCCTCAACTCTTCAACTTATGCTACTTGAATATGATATTTTTATGTGATTTGTGTGTATTACTCAATTTTCAATGTGATTCTCCAAACATAAATGGTTCGCTTGGAAAATCTTTATGATTCTTCTTTGTCAAGAAAAGCATTTTGATTGTAGTAAAGTGAAGAATTTGTTAGATTAAGGTGTATAGGATCATAACTAAATTGATACACTTGAATTGAAAGCAAAATACTTTTTGGGTTGCCCTCATAACTAGTAATTGAGTAGAATGATTTTTGGAGAGATAGGTTGATTTATTGATTTATTATATGATTAATAAATAACAATAAATGATTTTTTAATATATATTATATGATTAATATATAAAAATTATACATAATATTATTTAATTAAGAATTTATCAGAAATTAATTAGAATTAATTTTGGGATTAATTGGATTAATTAAAAGTGCAAGGACTTAAGCCATAATTGTTCAAAAGTTGAACAAGAGAAGGATTCTAGAACCCTCTTGAGATGGACAGTTTTAGCATGTCCATTTAGGGTTTCTTGAATGTTCCTTTTAGATAAATAAGGAGTTGGATAATTACCTAATTTGAAATATTAATATTATATTCAAATTAGGATTTTCAGGGTTTCTTATATCAGCTATAAATAGGACCCTAGGGATCCTTATTTTCGTCCAATCTAATAACCTAAGGCAGAGCCAAAAAAATTTCTTCTATATCTCCTCTTTCTTCAAGTCTTCTAATTACTAGGGTTTAGGTACAAACGATTAGAGGCACTAAGCTTTTAGTGCTTGCTTTCCAAGGCTTTCAAGAAGGAATTTTGTTTGGTTCTTTGCTATAATAATCAATAGGTATGTAAACCCTAATCCTATGTATATTTCGATTATTATTGGGTTCCTTTAGGGTTCTTGATGTTCAATAGTTTATTGTTGTCAATTAGAGAAAACATAGATCATTTATAGGTTTCATGTGAACTTAAGGGTTAAAATTTTTCGCTTCATATGTATTTTAATAACCTATAAAACTCATCAGTGGTATCAAAATCATTATTTTCTATTGGTTGTGCATAAAATTGAATGGATCAAAATTAGGGTTTATAAAAAATAAACCCTATTCCTTTGAAAATTTTGACTTGGCTAGAGTTTCTTGAAACCCTAGCCTCTACCCCCTTATTTTTGGGAAAAAAAGCCTTATGGTTTCCTAGGAATGTATCCCTCCAGTTGCTGGAAGTAGGGGCTGAACATCTGTAACGACGTAAATTTTAAAATAATTTTCATTTTTCAAACATAGTAAAACTCATATAATATTCTCAAAATCTAATATATCAAATGTTATCACAATAAAACATATCCCAGAATCTCAACACATAATCCTCTGCCAGTGTGTATAGATCATGTCGGCGCCTTCCCACGATCCTCGTTGGTACCTGAAACACATATCACATAACACGATAAGCATAAATGCTTAGTGAGTTCCCCAAAATACCACATACAACACATAAGCCACTCGAGGCTATAACCCGGTATGACCCTCCGGTCAATGTGTCTCGGCGGGACCCTCCAGTCCCGTAGCTCATTGGACCCTCCGGTCCGGTCTAGCTCGTTGGACCCTCTGGTCCGGTCTAAATCGTTGGACCCTCTGGTCCGGTCTAAATCGTAGGACCCTCCGGTCCGATCTATATAACACATAGCATACATATATCACAATGCACATAAACTCAAATATACACATAACACATAAGACCCTCCGGTCTGCACATAGCTACCACTCTAGGTAATGTATAGTGAGAAGACTCACCTCGGGTAATCTCGGAAAGTCTCGAACTCAAATCACTGATCTAGCCTCCGCCTAATCACATAAAGTAATTATCTTTAATTAATACGGCTCTCAAAGGCTAGACTAGTCCCTCCCTATATTCTCTCAGAAGGGGAAAAGACCATTTTACCCCTCCAATGGTCCAATGTCCAAACGTTGACCAAACCCTAAAAGTCAACTCCAGTCAACGGTCCAACTTTGACCAGACTCGTCGAGTGCACTCGGGTGACTAGGCGAGTCCATGCGTGTCCTCTGAATCCTCCTAAAGCCTCACTCGACTCGTCGAGTTAACCTTTCTCTCGACGGGTTACCACTGATCACGAATCGTGGTGCAACACGATCCGACTCGTCGAGTCCTCTCATGGACTCGGCAAGTTTCTTCCATGAGAATGCTCAAACGACCTTCTGAGGTTAGATCTGTTTCTCTAACTTATAGATCTGACCTTCTAACACCCAAAAGTCACGTAAAGGTCTGAACTTTACGTCCATGCATCGCACATATGGCTCTATTTGATGAAATAGCTCTTAAAATGGAGTCCTAGGCTCAATATTCTCATGTAACAGCATAAAGCTTGGTTGTTGGGACACTCTGGACCTCTCAAGGTCCAGATCTAAAGTCTATTCCTCAATGGGACTTCACATGCTTCATATCCCAACTAAAGAATGGGTAAAGAAACCCTAGATTCAAGAGATCTACTATATACACGAAAATAGGCATGGATTCATACCTCAACAGCAACCTTTGGTGAAGTAATGGTAGATCTGAGCTCCTCAATCATCCTAGCTTGAATCCCCTCTCTCCTTCTTGTAAGAATGCACTAAAGGTGATGCAATTAGCTCCTTCCCTCACTCTCTATGCTCTCTGGTTCGTTAGGGTTTCTCAAGTGGGTGTGTGGCTGCAATGAGGGCCATAATGACCCTTAAATAGGGCACATGCCCGAAGATTTAGGGTTTCTGTCCACAGCGCGGACTCGTCTAGTCGACTCACTGACTCGTCGAGTCCATTCATTAATCCTAGTCAGCAGTCGCGATCCTACTCGACGAGTTTAGGCGTCAACTCGTCGAGTCCCTCTCCTTGACTCAAAAATAAATACTTAATTTATGATACCTGGAAATCCGGATGTTACAACATCTGAGGCTGTTGAGAAAAGAGCGGAGTGTGCGACATGCCCGCTATGGGAGAGAACTGGTAGCTCGACATTGGATGTTGTGCAGAAGATAGAAAGGTCCCTGGGGACCAAGTGTTCATCCTGATGGGTTTTTGC